CTGTGAGACAGGCGTCAACGCATAAAATAAACATTCACCTCCCAACAGATTTAATATTCACGTCCAAAGAGTTTGTAATAAAAGCAAAAAGGCTGTATAGATAAAGTTCAAAACAAAAAACGAGCTGTCAAATAGCGTGACAGCGACGCGACGGCGGGAACAAGAACGATTTGTACAGGCATCAATAGGCCTACAGAAAAAAAAAACCTCGTAATATAAACATTAATAATCCCATATCAATATTTATAATACCGATTCATATAAGTTTGCATGTTATATCACTAATGAGACCGTTGTTGCGATATTGGCTGAATATTACCGTTAGGATAGCCCATTAATCGATACGTCTGTTAATTTATTTCAGAGCAATTATCTTGTCCGACTGACGCCGAGACTTAGTGTTTGTTAAAAAAAAAAAAACTACGTGTAACTTTGACAGCCAGCTTACCGGTTTTAAAAAGTACGATGTGACACCATGCTTATACAAATACAATCTTAATTTCCTTGTATCAGTTTAGAATTTATATAAAAAATATTAATATATATTAAATAAAGAAAAAAATCTCATAAAATATTTGACTCTGTTCCCACAGTATATGTAATTAAGTGAATAAAACCTTTTTTAACTAATAGTTTGTCTGATGAGAAACGGTCTCGGAATGCAAATAGCAAACGGTAGAGCTAATGCTGGACTGATTAATTCATCTTGTAATTAACGAAGACATAGCTTTAACGTCGACTCGTTTTAACATCACATCTATTGAAAACAATACTACTATTATATTGCTATTTGTATAACAATATCATGTTTTACATAAAATAATACATTTCTTTAATTATCATTAGCAATATTCAATAATTCTACCGAAATTTCTTCCAAAATCTTTAAAATTGTTTATTCACATTAATTTAATTGTTCACGAATGTTTTAATAATTAAAAAACAGACAGACAGACGTGTTTGTTACATTTTGTCCGTCGATGACTTACTGATGCCAGTTCTCCGTATAAGTCACGTTGGCTTCGTTTAGGCGTACTTGGGTATACCTTAAAAAGACATACGACATTCTCACAGAGTATAACAAACGGGAGGTAATTAATGACGCGATGTCACTAAATCGTTGTGATTTAATGATTTATTAATTAAATTATATGTACATAGAAATTCTGTGTTAATGTTATAAATAATATATGTATACTAGCTTTCCGCTCGCAGCTACGTCCGAGTTCGGTTGGAGTTCGGTTATATCGCGTTTCCAAGAGAACCTTTCAAAAGTCTGGGATAAAAACTATTCTATGTTCTTTCTCAAGGTCAACTCTATGTGTGTACCAAATTTCATTAAAATAAGTTCAGTGGTTTAGGCGTGAAAGCGTAACAGACAGACAGACAGAGTTACTTTCGCATTTATAATATTAGTAGGGATTAATAGTTTTGTTCATAAGTGTAAATAGGACGTTATAATTTTTAAACTATGTATTTAATTATTATAAATACTGACCTGATATTTCATTATTAAATTCTCAGTTTGTAATCTCCAACATAGTCTTCTTAATTAGGAAATATATAATCGTGGTAGTGTCTAGAAGTCTAGAAGTGTAGAAGTTAAATCATAGAGTAATTATTCAGAATCTTATTCAATAGATAAAAAAAATAATAATTTTGATATTTCATTACTAAATTCTGGTTTTATATTTAATAATATTTAAATATCTTTAAAATAAATTCTTGTTGTGTAGATTTAAATATATTTGATTACTATGTGCTTTTCTCATTATAATACATAAGTTTTCTGAAACTAATAGTAATAGTTACCTAATATTTGGAACTTTGCTTAATTTATTTATATTATAAAATGAATTATTGATAGTATGAACGATATTTTATTTTTCCCGCCGTTAAAACTCGACTATACTTATTAATTCTGACATCTTCATTATAAAATAAATAATGTATCAATTCAATAAAGTTTCATAACAGTAAACGGATATGTATTTGTATAAAATCATTGCATCCTTTTTTTTTTTGTTAATTAAATTCCCTCGTAAAACATCGCGTAATTAAAATCTAAATAACAAAACAGCTTTGCGAATTAACGAATTAGAACGTTAAAAATTTTCCATTCATGTAAAAAGAAATTTATTTCATATTATTATGTTTAAATTATATATTTTTCAATATTTTTACAACATATTGACTGTTGTTGTAAAGAGTGACAAAGGGTCGCACTTAAAATTATCAAGTTTTGCGATAACTGTTATTTAAAAGAACTATTTAGTTAAAAATACAATATGTACACAAAATATTCATTTATATATACAAAAGGACTATATTATACTATTATTTTCTTTTAAATATTACATAAAACCATTTAATACTTGAAATTAATAAAAAATGGTTTCTTTAATAAGAGTTTTAGATTTAATTCAAGTAATTATATGTTAAATAATAAATGATTGTTTTTAATTATGTACAATGATTGTTAATGTTTAGTTTCGTGTTCGACTTATTGAAATTATAATTTTTAGAAAACAATTATATTACCGTTAATCTCATTAAGTTTATGGATTGAATAGAAAATAAAATTAAAATGATTTTAATATAAAAGAATTCATTATTACGTGGCAACGATATAATTATGTAGTATTTACGTAAAGAAAACATTGAATAATCATTATGTTTCAGATGTATTAAAATTCTCACTTTTCTGTGAAAAATCAACATATTATATATATGAAACAATAAAAAATTAAAATTTCCCAAAGAGGGTTGATGTCAGGCGGCCGGTCGTAAAAACAATTAGCCAAAACTATTTACATGTAAGGCAGACCCTGGCTATAGGGATATTGCCAGGTAGAAGAATAATAAATTCAATATAAACTTTTAAATTAAAACTTCCACGGTTTAAATAATAATAATAATATTAAACTAATATATAAGAGGGTCAAATAATATTGAGACTTTGTTTTTTTTGTTTATGAATATAATTTTATTAACAATTTACTTTAATGACTGTATCAATATATTTACATTTATAATACATTTTTACACTCTTATAACTTACTCACGTCACTGTAATAGGCTTCAAACTTTCATATAACATATATTGCACGTATAATATATACAATGGTTGCATCCTAATATATTTACAAATTGTTCGTTTAATTAATTAATAATTACATAAAATTCGTTCTTTTATAATATATAACATATAAACTAATACTTTATTTCGCTATCGGTACATAAATAAGCAAATATTGTTGACATAATTGTATAAATTCAATTAAATTTACAAAATTATTAAGGATATGTCAAAATAACAATATGGCGTCCGAGGCAGCTAAACAATCGTTATAAAATCGTTTTACATACACAAATATTATAAGTTTTTATAGAATAAGATTTTTCAAATAAAATCTTCAATAATGCCGCCATACCATAACATTCTATATAATATTTTATTATACTTAGCTTAATTAAAATATAATTGAACGTACCTATAAGTATTTTTCTTACAAATGATCCGGTCTTAATATTTTCATAATGTGTCAAAAAATATAAATATATGTTTTAAAACATATAACCAATGGATTCATTTGTACAAATAAGAATTTTTTAATTATTCAGACGAAAGAATCTACTAAATTATGACAATAAGAGCATATTTTTTTTAATTTTAACGGTCATTCATTTTTCATACATTTGCTCTACAAATGTTTCCTTCAATTGTTTTATAGTTTAAAACAATTATAAATATAGCAGGGAGCGTACTTTAGCATTCTTTAATATACCTTTCAAATTATATTTTTTCTTTTAAGGTTATTTCATAGCAATTATGCAATTATAATTGTTGAATTAATTCTTGAATATCTCAAACGCCATATTTGGTATGTCGTCTTTTTGTTGTAACAATGCAAACCCGTTTCTATGACATACATTTTCTATAACTATGTAATGTATATTTAGAGAGGATTTAGTAAATTATACTAGAAAATGATACTTTTTGTCTATTTTTTTATATATTACGGATTGATTATTAAACTCGGTTTCTACTACATGTAATGGGAAGCTTCCTGACTTATATTTTTCATATAAATTACATCGCTACATACTGATTCGTCTATATTTATGCAAATAACTATTTCTTCCCAACGCGACGTGTAATTTCCAAAGGCCGATGTACTGTGGCCTTTAAGTTATAATTATTTTCTTATTGAGTACGGATCAAATTATGTCAGCCGACCTCATGAACCTTTTTGTTACAATTATTAATATCGCCCTTTAACTGTTTCATTGTTTATAGCGGAACAGACGATTTACGGAACATTTAACAATTAAATGAAATGTACTAAAAACTTATTTGTTCTCTAAAAAATATTATTTTTCACTCATAACAAAATCTATATTGAATATTTTACACTTTTATTACAACTGTATATAACAGTATGTCTAGACTTCGTATAGGCCTATTTGTTGTGGAGCGTGAATGAGAAACTTGTCTATTAAAATGTGTCCATACAACGTTTTAAATAATGAAAAGCCTATTACAGCGTCTCTTAATAGAGTTCGTGAGTTCTGATGATGCAAGTCGTCTTCAAACATAATCGTCAACTAGTTCAAGTTGTCAGATGTTAATATTCAGGTACCGCCTACACTCCCTAATATAAAACTCTATCCGCGAACGACCTACGACCGTTACAGTTACAACTAACAATGATATGATAAATAAATCGTATTTGATTGGCAGCATCTTACAACATAATCTCCGGGAATGATTGCGGAGGGCTTTCTGTTATAAGTATAAATAAATGAACAATAAATAATATACATTTAGCGACAAATAATACTAAAATCAACCCTGTCATACCTCGAGGGATCGCGACAGGCCGGAGCCGGGCCGAGCGGACCCGAGGCCTCCTGTCTCCGGGCCTTACAACATGAAGCACTCGATCACAACAACACTCGGCGCACTGAACGTCACAGTATGTACACTAGAGGTCCGTCTACTCCTCGTCCACGTTGATCTCGGAGTCCGCGGAGTCCTCGTCGTACGTGGAGGAGGACGCGAACCCTCGGCCCAGCGCCGCCGAGCGGTTCTTGGCGGCGGCGGCCCGGTCCCGCTGGCGGCGGTTCTTGAACCAGTTGCCCACCTGGGTCGGCGTGAGGCCCGTCGCCGCCGCCAGCTCGCGCTTCTTGGTCGGGTTGGGGTACGGGTCCTGCAGGTACCACTCCCTCAGCAGCGACCTCGTGCGCTCCTTGAAGCAGTGCGTCTTCTGCTCGCCGTCCCAGATGGTCCTCGGCAGCGGGAACTTCTTCCTCACGCGGTACTTATCGACGGGCCCGAGCGGCCGGCCGCGGAGTCGCTCGGCCTCCTGGTAGTGCGCTTCGAGCCACAGAGCCTGCAGCTTCGCGTGACTCGAGCGCTGGAAGCGGTGCCTCTCGAGGATGGAGTACAGCTCGCGGTGTCTGCCGGCGTGGAAGGCGACCACGGCCCGCGCGCGCAGCACCGCCTCACAGCGCTCCAGTTCCGCCACGTTGGGGTGCGCCACGGGCAGGGACCAGAGGAAGCGCGCGAGACGCTCCACATCACCGCTCTCCTCCAGGGTCTCGCAGACGGTGGCCACCTGCGCCGCGCTGAAGGACAGCGTCGGCAGCGGCAGCAGCGGCGTGGGCGCGGCCAGCTCGAGCGCGGGCGGGCCGGCGCAGGCCGCGGGCTCGGCCGCCGGGCCGCGCTGCGCCTCCAGGATGCGCGCGTGCAGCGCCGCCGTCGTGGACTCGTCCCAGGAGCCGCGCATCGGTGCGAGTGTGCGCGCCGGAGTCGCGCGCCGTTTGAGCCGCGGCCGGCAGCGCGCCCCGGCCGAGGGAGGGCGTGCGCCGAGCCCGCGGCTATTGGCTATCGGTTACGGAGCGGGAGGCTGCGCGGCCAATCGGGCGTGCTCCGCTCGGGGGCCGGATAGCTTTCAACCGCGCCGCGGCGCGTATCCGGCGGGCGCGTTTAACGAGGGCGGCGGGACGCGGGCCCCCCGCGCCGCCATGATCCGTCACACACACCTCGCGACCCGCGCCCGGCCCGCGCCGGCCCGCGCCGCCTGCGAACCTTCAATTAATAGCCTCCATATATTCATCCGGGTGGATTACCAGCTTTTATTTGGTGGATGTTCAGCCACCGATCGATGAATTAGTACCTTATCGCTTCATACGCTCCACATGCACGCCTACTTCATTAACGGCCATCTGTTCTATAAAACATTTCATTATTTATCTCTCATCATATATTTCATGTCTTTGTATCGTACAGCTCGCCGGTCAACATTAAATGTATCATAATAAGTCGTACACGGTGACTCGCTACCGTCGGCGCGTTTCAATGAGTCACGACAAAAAGTTCCAAATAACAAAAATACTCTATCAAAGTACCAACAGAGACTAATTATTCCAACACATTAGGTACATACAGTCTAAATCATCATATATAGAGTGACGTCAAGCGTCAAGGCTCGTCGGTCGCTCTACAACAGATTTCACCGTGAAAGCCTTTCCACAGTATTAAGTTATTGAACGGCAAACCACACCCCGCCGTGGGTCCGCGGGGCCCAGGGGGTGTGAGGCTGGTAGGAGGAGGGAGGGAGGGGGTGAACTACGTACAGATAACGTGAACACCCCGTATACTTAAACATAGCACTTTGATACCGCTCGTTATAAATATGAAATTCATTATCAACATATTACAGAGTTTTTGGGGTTCCTTAAACCTTCATACAGTTTACTATAGAAGTATTTATTTAAACCATTCAGTTATAATACATTTAACATGTTCAAAGTTAGTTAAATTTGAACCAGATGCAGTTAACTGAACGCTTCCTTTGATGACACAACAATTTGCAAATCTAGCAGCCTTCTTGAATCAAACCACTCTTGTCTTGATAGTTGTTTACAACCACAGTGGAAACTACATCTTACAGACGTACATACATACATTTACATTATAAATATAGGCTCGTTATTATGTTATTTTATATTTATATAAATTAACTTCATACCGAAAAGAATAAAGAAATTTTTTTATCAGATTTGTATAACATTTTTTTTGTTTATTTAATATAAATTAAAATCATTTGATCACTCCTGAACTCCCGAGTCTCGATCTCATCCACCCTATTATTCTTCATAAAAGCATTTCATTTACTTGAGTAAAGTCAAAACATCGTAACTAATTCATGAGGCGCGTTAACTCAGTAACTCTTAAATTGAAAAGTTTTGACAAAATATTAACTGACTTTATATTTTTTATATAGCAAAAAATGGGTTTTGGATTGCTTTACAATAATTGTATCTCATTAAATTGCGATTGTATTTTAATGTAGAGTTATTCTAGATCGTATTATAATGTAGAGTTATTCTAGATCGTATTGTAATGTAGAGCTATTTTAAATTGTATTGTATTGTAGAGCTATTTTAAATCGTATTGTATTGTAGAGTTGTTCTAGATCGTATTGTAATGTAGTATATGCTCGGTTATGTATAAGTGGCTGTGATTTATCCCGGTTACATTGCTATGGGGGGATCCTCCCAGGGAGGGGGGGTGACGATCGATACACGGTATCTTTGTTTGGATATAAAATCTTAGGGGTGTGGTCTGGGATCTGATTTGGAAATATTACAATTTAACATAATTTACTTTACAAGTTTAAAGCTATATATTTCAGTTAGATATATACCTATATAAATACAAGAAACTAATCTTCGTTATTCAGTAATGACCAATGCATTGAAGACGAGCAAACCAATAATATTACATTATATCTTCATTCAACTATTCTATTCTATTCTGTCCAACGAACGGTTCTAGTAATAAACTCCTTTAGTTCTTCACCGCATCATATTCACCGTATTCACACAAACAAAAGCCTATTCGAGACACAATATTCCGAGAATGAAGAGTTCAAATCTAACAAAACTAAAATAAAATATACATACATACATCGAACACAATGAAGAATATTTGAATTGGAAAGTAAAATCTACGCTACCGGGCAACATAGTAGCTTAGCGAACAAACACTCACTAAAAGCTACCTTGTAAACGTGCAATAAATGTTAGTATATTGTGCGAGCGGCTCCGGGAGGCAGTGCGTGTATGTCACACAATACGTCGTTCGTCAAATGACGAGTTTTACGACCCCGCTATCTGACACACGGTTAGCGGGAATGATTTGTTAAGCCCGCCTGCCTAGTGCCTACACATCTGATTACTGTCATTTGAAACGAGTCAATAAAACTATTTTTGTATTATACTAGTTTTGGAATACGACTTTGTCTGCGTTAATTTTGGAATTAGTGATATATGTATAGCTGACCGGGCGAACTATATTCCGACTTAGAGACCGTAAATAACCAGATATTGGAGTTTATTAAGTTTTTTCTGTTTTAATGGAACAGAATTAAATATCCTATGTCCGTCTCCTAGTTCTAAGTTATCTCTTCACCAATTTAAACCATATCTCTACAGCCGTTCTTGAGTTATAAATAGTGTAACGAACACGACTTTCTTTTACATATAATAATAAGAAATATAAAACAAATTTTTCATTACTTACAAATAGTTTCTCATAGACAGTAAAAATCTATTTAGTCTATCTAAAACAATGCAAAGTATATTAATAAATTCGATCGATGTTAAATTCAAGCATCAGGTTAACCCTATCGTTACATTCAAAGTCATCAGACGGTCGAGTGGTTCACGTGAATAGCAAAAATGAAACCGAAATGAGTTCACCCTTCAATACGGTTAGTTGACTCTAATAGAGTCACTACCATCAGGGAACAAGGGCGCCACACACTGGAGTGACTCTAAAGAGACACTTCGTAAGGATACATTTACTAAATAGTTAATAGTCATCATTTAATAATTACTTATTGATAAATTAATTAATGCTCAAACCTTCTCCATGTGAGAAGAGGCTTAGCTCAGCAGTGGGCGTCTGATAGGCTGATGATGATGATGATAAAAAATTTAGTGAATAATTTTTAAAAGATTATTTACATATATAATTTTCTATAATTTTCTCCATGTGAGAAGAGGCCCAGCAGTGGGCTCTGATAGGCTGATGATGATGATGATATATAATTTATATATTTTTTATAAGTGAAGGTAATAAATATTTTTTTATTTAGCTGTTCCAACCCTAAAAGTAATCACACATGAAATAACACTAAATGCGTTTCAATAGCCGGCCGCGGACTTCAAAGCTATTTCGATAAACCCCGCTTTGTTTACAGACACCACATGCAAAATATACATATATATAGTATTACCATACAACGTAACATATATATTTTTTCGAATTTTCATTCAAATAAAAATATTTAATCCGAAAATCTTATAAAAATATGTAGTTCTTAGAAAAATATACCTAAATTATTTTCTACAACCGAATAATTACTTAAATTATAACATACATATATAATACATGTTATATATATAACATATAACTGTATGTCGGTGCTTGTTCTGTATGTTAAACATTACAACAGTCAAGACGATCACAATAGAAGTGCCTTCCGTCGAGGTCATGACACAACACATAAGAGGTAGCGATTTTATATCACTTACCTACATATAAACTAATAAATTATTATTATTTACTTATTGATATTTTACATACTTATAATATTTGAGTGAATTAGATTAAAATGAAACTAATATTTTCGGATTATACTTTGCGTATTTATTATGTCAAATAGATTAAATATATTTAATTAATATTATTTACATTACTGAAGTACATACTTTTCGTAAACTTATAATCAATTATCTATATAATATATGTATATGTATTAAAATTTAACAAATTAAAAATATTAATATAATAATATGTAGTAATTATATCTTTAGTATCTCAAATAAATTTAAACCTAATTTTAATTGCCATGTCTGTTGTTCCGCGGTCTCTGCAGACTCGCGACAGTCACTGCGACTGTTTTGTCCACAGTTTATTATATGACGTCTGTACACGAACGGATGAACTCTTCAAGCTTAGTACGAGTATGAACATACTGCTTACGAAGAGTTCTACGTTTTTAATTCATTATAAACGTTTACACTATGTGTAATAAGTATATTTATTAAAAAAAAACTGTGAACTAGGTAGTGTGTGTCAAGTTGTAGTAAGCAATCAGTACAGAGATGGTGGTGACCAAAATTTTGGCCTAAAATAGTCACGGACTAATGTATTAACGTATTTTGTCATTCATAAATCCTTTACATAGTTCAGTATAATATCGGCATATGAAATTGGCGAAATCTATAAGAATTCTTATTAACTTTAACTAAACCCGAAAAAGAAGAAAAATTTGATTTTGAATAGATATCTTATTGCATTTCTTCATATCTTCAATAAGTAAATATATTTTTATAACGACATCGTAACTCCATATAATGTATTCAAAAACAATATAATTACTTTATAATAAAATCATTTGACAGATAAAATTAAGATACATATATTTAAAAAAAATACATATATGTATATCAATGTACATTCTGCCCTTCATCTATCAATTAAAGAATCATTAATACCTATATATAATATTAATAATATATTTGTCAAACAACACATACATATGTTGTATGTATTATATATAAGATATATAGGTAGCACGTCTCATAACAAAACACTTGGTCCGCGGACCGCAGATCACAAAGGGTACTTGCGCGGGCGCAGCTATCAAGCCACGTCCCGTACATCATGCTGTGATTAGTTTATGTGACACGGACGGACGGAGCCACAGAACTTTATATGTATACAGACACCAAATAATAATAATACTAATATTATAATTGCGAAAATTTGTGACTATGTATGTTTGTCGCTTCTTCACGCTCAAACGACTGAATATAATTTGATAAAATTTTGTATACAGCAAGCTGACGTCCAGGAATAACACATAGGCTTTATACCTATTTTATTAGATAGATCAAAACTATAATGATTTCTATATTTAATATTAATAACTTAAAACAATCATATATTAAACCATTTAATTCAAATTAATTACCATACATTTTTTTGTTAATATTATTATATATATAATATAGTATTTCTGTTTGTTCGTAGCTCCTCGTCGTAAGTCCATGAATCGAGTTCGAGTCAGTCCGTTTATGATATGGCCACTATT